GTGGATAGTGAGAGAGAGAGAGACAGAGAGAAAGGTCTTCCTTTACCGTTGGTTCACCCTCCAATGGCCGCTGGGGCCGGCGTGCTTCGGCCTGCGCACCGCGCTGATCCGATGGCAGGAGCCAGGTACTTATCCTGGTCTCCCATGGGGTGCAGGGCCCAAGCACTTGGGCCATCCTCCACTGCACTCCCTGGCCACAGCAGAGAGCTGGCCTGGAAGAGGGGCAACCGGAACAGAATCCCAGAATCCGGCACCCCGACCGGGACTAGAACCCGGTGTGCCAGCGCCGCAAGGCGGAGGATTAGCCTAGTGAGCTGTGGCGCCGGCTAGTTTTTCATAATACATATTTTCCATGGATTTTTTTCCTCATATTTTCATCCTGTTCTCATTCCAATCTTTGACAATTGGAAGCAAATTCTCAATAAATACTTCCTACCTCTCAATAAATATTTGTTGAAGTAAGGCCCCAGATGTGTTGGCCAGTGGTGATATGATTATAAGATCTTGGATTAAAAATAGGAACAAACATTTGACTGTAATACTGGATAAGAGGATCAAATCAGAGTAAGTATATTTAGCAGTGTATAGTGATTACTTTAAACCCTAAAGAAACAAAAGCAAGGAAAGGTTCAAATATTACTCTAGGATGTCCTTGCTATCCAACTGAGTTTTTCTAGTGGTGCCATCTCCCACTGTGACAGAAAAGCTTAAGCATGGGGAGATGGTGTCAGGAGGAAAAACGTAGGCTTAAGTCATCACTGGTTTTAGGATTCCACTGTAAAGAGCCATAGAAACAGAAATAACTGCAGCACAGGGGACAATGAATAATTCTGTGGCTGTTGTTTGTAGAGTGAAGCCATGGATCAGTCACTGGTATAGAGGGTTGAACAGCAGGGATGAAAAATCACCTTGCCAGGCTGTGTGTGGAAGTGGACAGCAGGGTGAGACAAATGAGTGCAGACAAGAGTACAGCCAGCGAGAGGCAGAACATCTGCTGGGGGTATGCTGCTCTGCAACACTGCAGAGCTGAGCCTGAGTTTGCAAAACAGGCAAGGAACTTCTTGTAAACACAAATTCCAGCAATTAACTGCAGCTATTTATGAGATTCTTTGTTCATGCAAAATTGCGAAGACAGTAACACAGCTTCAGTGTTGTGTGGAGACGGTAGCTAAAATCAGGCTTAGGAAGGCAACAGCATAGAAATGGTGAGAACTAAGGAGACTTTGGGTCTCCAAAGCTATCATTTGTTTGAAAATCAGCTAGTGTTAGTGCCGCATTTTGATTGACTAACATTCTCCTGTTATGAAATAATTCAAAATAATGTGCTTGAGTCCCAGAAGGGGAGAGCCACGGCAGAAGCATTGTTCTCTTCACAAGGTTTCTGAATGAGCTCAAAAGTCTGCAGGCAACAGCGATGGGGGCAGGGGCGGGGGGGGGGGGGGGG